CCCACCCCCTTCCGCCCCCACCGTCCAATCCATCCTAGTAGCCAGCGAGGACGACATCCGCTGGGTGTGCGAGGACATGGGGCTGCGGGACCCCGACGAGCTGAGGAGCTACATGGAGCGGATCCGGGGCAGCTCCTGACCTCGGGCCCCTGTGCCCGACTGGCACCGCACAGGGCACAGCAGTCAGGGACCAGTCTCCCCTTTCATTGGCTGCCTTCCCAGGGGTCTGCCCTGGGATCCACTGCCCAAACCTGCTCCCTCCCAGTCAGTGTTAGGAGAACCCTGCCCCGGGGGCAGGACTCTCCCCACTAGGAATGAGCCCTAGGGCTGCAGCCCTGCACCCTGCCATAGAACTGACTCCGACGCGCTCTCTGTCCTGGAGGTCCGCCCTGGGCCCCAGCGGAGGCCTGTCTCTTACTATCTCCCTGGAAGGAGTCTGCGATTGAACCCAGCGTCCTGGCATTGCCCAGCTTCCGGGGGGTGCTTTCCCTGCTGGCTTCCAAGCCGCCGAGGGGCGCGCCGGGGCCGGCTTCCTGTTTTGCTTTGGTTCTCGTTGCGACGTTGTGTTGATTGTGGTGGTTTTTCATGGCGAGTGTCCTTCCTGTGGTCTGACCCTCTGCTTAGTCTCCCCACCCCTGCCCACCACGTGGGGTGGGCGTCCCCTGCCCCTCAGGCGCCAGCCCGTCTCCTTCACCCCAGCCCCGCCTTCATTTTGTACGACTGACATTTTATACCTGTAGCGTCGGGAGGCGGCCACGGCGGGTCCTCTTATGTTGTTACAAAAATAAAATATTTAAAAAACCAAATTCTCCAGCCTCTGGGCAGGATGGGGGGGGGGGCGTTCCTTTCCTCCTGGCCTTTGTGTTCGGAGCATCCCTGGGGGACGGGAAGAGAAGCCGCTTCTGGCTTCCCCCTGCTGTCAAACTCCTACAGCTGTGATGTCCAACCAGTTCTGAAGCAGTAGCCACTCCGGCTACTGCTAATAGTGAACTAGCCACACTCAATTGGCCAAATAGCCACATGTGGCTAGTGTGTTGGACATCATGGTCCTACAGTCTCTGCCTCATTTTCTGTCCCATCTGCCCTAACAGGCCATTCTTCCACTGGACTGTACAAGGGAAGAGGGGTGGGCCCCTTCAGCATACCCCCTGCAGGGAGGGACTTCCCCAGCTGGTGTGGAATTGGGAGAAGAGCCTAGTTCCCAGCCGCCTTGGGGGCGTGGCTGGATTGCATTACATGTGGCTATTCCCAGGGCTGGCCTTACCCACACGCAGAATATGTAGTTGCATAGGAACATTTGGGGCACCACTGGGTCTTGGTGTCCACCCTCCTGCCTCTCCCTGTTCTGTGGCTTTGCTTCCTCCAGAGAGGATCTAATTAACTTACAAGTGAAGACGCCTGCCCGACCGATGAGCGGAAAGAGCCATTCAAGTGGCCATGAAGCCATTTAACAGGCATTTGCCAGCCCCGGGTGCACACTGTCAGCTTCTGAATTTACTGTGATAGACGACAGGACCTTCATTTAAAATTTGCTTTAGAAATATTTCGTTAGTGTGTTGCTGAAGACTATAAAATCTAAACAATCATCGTTCCCCCACCCTGGCTGCCGTTGGGCATAGGGACACCAGTTTCAGTGCCGCGTAAATCCCAAGGTCGGCCATGGCTGCTACCTGCTTGCCACGGGAAGCACCTTATGAATCAGCAGCCCTAAGGCTGCTCTAACTTGCCCCTGGGCTAGGCAAAGCCTGAGAACACAGGGGCTGTGTCTACACTGGCGCGATCTCGTGCCAAAGCAGCTGCTCTTGCACAAAAACTTGCTGCCTGTCTACACTGGCCGCGTGTTCTTGCGCAAGTAAACTGACGTTCTAATGTATAAAATCAGGGCTTCTTGCACCAGAACTCTGACACTCCCGCTCAGGAATAAGCCCTCGTGTGCAACAGCTCTTCCAGAAGAGGCTGGGGTAGACAGGCAACGTGAATTTCTTGCGCAAGAAAGCCCTATGGTTAAAATGGCCATCAGAGCTTTCTTGCGCAAGAGAGCGTCTACACTGGCATGGATGCTCTTGCGCAAAAGCACATGGCAGTGTAGACACTCTCTTCTGGAAGAGTTTTTGCACAAGAACTCTTCCTCAAAAGAGTTCTTCCGCAAGAAGCTGCCAATGTAGACGTAGCCAGGCAGTACAGCAGTGGCTTAACACTAGCCTGTTACTAGAGGCTTGAAAGGGTGAGGAGAGGCATCTCTACAAAGATGTTATCATGCTGGCTGTGAGATCAGCAAGGACAGGCATATACCGGGTCACCTCTTGGAGGTGGGAAATTCACACCCCACACAGCCGAACAGAGAGAAGGAGCCTTTTCCGAACACCCTTTGTCTAAAAAGAAGTTTCAGAGGGGTAGCCAAGTTCGTCTGTAACAGGAAAAACTTAAGAAACAACAAACAGGCTGGTAGCACTTTCCAGACTACCAAAACATGTAGATGGGATCATGAGTTTTTTGTGGGCACAGATCGCTTCAGATGACCTGAAGAAGTGGGCTGTGCCCACGAAAGCTCATGATACCATCTGCATGTTTTGGTAATCTGGAAAGTACTACCAGACTATTTGTTGTTTCTTAAGTTTTTCCTAAAAGGGAAAGTTTCCCTTAGGGCTGGGGCCAAGTGGCAGGGTTCTCCCTGCCCCCCCCCCCTCCCTCCCCACTGCCCCAGCTTCCTCTCCCCTCTGCTGGCAACTCCAGCGTGTTTCACAGCCTGCCCCGATGATCCTTCCTTTTTCATTGCCAAGAAAAGCAGCGGCCAGTTCCCTCACTGGCCCTGCCGAAGGCGTCTCATGCAGGAATCTATGCCTTTAAGCCTGCAAATGGGGGATCCCCCGTAGTGGAGGCTGCTGGCTGAGCGCTTCAAGGCACTGCAATTACCCCTCTGTCTTCCCCACCATGTGCTGTGGGCTGGGAATGCCTTTACGCACCACCAGTGCACTCCTCCAACCGGAATAAATCCACGCCTGCAGTCTCCAAGCCCATCTTTACCAACCCCCTCTACCTGGACCAATCTCAAGAGACCAGCCAGGCAAAACCCACCACTGCCAGCCTCTTCCCCGACGAGCCCCTTTGGCATTACTTTGTAACGAGGGCCATGGCCGTGGGGAGGGCCCACCGGCCATTTTATCAGGTCAGGTCCAGCTTTTGCCCAGTTGAGCCTGATTTTGTGCAATCTGAGGAGACGGTGCCCCCATGCACAGCATGGTGCAAATCTTCCATCTGGGATTCATCCCCCCAGCCCTTCATGTCCAGTTCCTTCTGACTGTGGATTTAACCCATTACTGGTGATGGGGCAAGTCAGGACCCAGGCAAGAGAGGGCGTCCTTAGGAATTCTGGGTACTGGGGGGGATCTTTGACTGAGGGTAGCCAAGGAGGCAGGACTAGATTTCACAAGGGCCTCCAGCAAGGAAAAAGGAGGAGGCCCTGAGCTCCCCTCCTCCTGCCACTTACAGCAGCCCCTGTGGATCTGTCCCTACCCCCCCACCTGGTGTCCTGCTAGGGAGGGTCTTTCCTCCTCCCCATTCTCCAGAGAAGGTGCTAATCCAGCTGTCCTGCCTGGGCACAGCTCCACCCACCAGCCCAAGTCACAGAGTGGACAGGGGCAGTTGGAGGAGGGGTAGGGTGCCCTCAGTCCCCCTCGGGGCCCACACAGGCGCGGCAGTTGTGGGGCGGCTGCCTCTCATAGCGAACAGAAATCCAGAAAAAGAGCACGCAGGTCACCGTCTGGATCCCAGCCAGGAGGAAGAAGTAATAGTCCATGTGGCAATTGTTAATGTTCCCTGGGGAAACAAGGGGGGGACACCTGTCAGAGCACCCCCTACTGGCACCAGGTGGACCCCCTCACAGTCCGTGTACACCATTTTCTGCCACGTCCCCAGCCCCAGGGACCTATCTGCCCTGGCACAGGTGCCAGAATCCCCAGCATGCAACGCTCCCCCACCTAGCAGTCAGACAGGCCCGGTCTCCACTTTTGGCCTTCATCTCCCAACCTGCCTGGGGCACCCCCTGTTGTCCCCAGGGATACATTCCCCCTTCCCCACCCCGCTTTGGGGCTGCCTCTCTCCCTTCTGCTTCGTATTCGCCCCCGGGGCCTCACACTCACCGAAGTCCTCGGGACAGTGCATCCAGCCGTGCTCTGGCACCGAGAGGAGAGTCAGCAGCCCCGAGCCCAGGAGCGAGCCCACGCCAGAAATGAAGAAAAAGAGCCCCATGATGGCTCCTTGCATGGACTTGGGGGCCTCTGAGTAGGCAAATTCCAGGCCTGGGGGGAGAGCAGGGAGCTCTGAAGGATGCCAGTGTTTCCAGGGCAAACAGTACTGCTTCAAGCCATCCGGGGATGGGCTCAAACAACAGCCTGTTTGCTCACATACCAGCTGAGTGATGAGCCGACCACCCCAACCCAACCCCTAGCCTTGAACCTCTCGGTCCCCTCTCCAGTTACAGCCCAAGCCTTACATTAAGAACATAAGAGCAGCCACACTGGGTCAGACCAAAGATCCATCTATCCTGGTATACTGTCTGCCGACAGTGGCCAATGCCAGATGCCCCAGAGGGCGTGAACAGAACGGAATTACAGTGTGATTCCTCTCCTGTCATCCATTCCCAGCCTCTGACAAACAGAGGCTAGGGGCACCATTCCTATCTATCCTGGCTTAATAGCCATTGATGGACCTATCCTCTGTGAATGTATCTAGTTCTTTTCTGACCCCTGTTAAAGTCCTGGTCTTCGCAACATCCTTTGGCAAGGAGTTCCACAGGTTGACGCTGCACTGCGTGAAGAAAAACTTCCTTTTGTTTCTTTTAGAGCAGCTACCCATTACTTTCATTTGGTGACCCTAGTTCCTGTGTTATAGGAACAAGTAAATAACTTTTCCTTATTCACTTTCTCCACACCAGTCATGATTTTACAGACCTCTATCATAGCCACCCTTAGTTTCCTCTTTTCTAAGCTGAAAAGTCCCGGTCTTGCTAATCTCTCTTCATTCAGCTGCTGTGCCAAACTCCTAATCATTTTTGTTGCCCTTTTCTGAACTGTTTCCAATGCCAATATATCTCTTTTGAGATGAGGCGACCACATCTGTATGCAATATTCAAGATGTGGGCATACCATGGATTTATGAGAGACAATAAGATAGTCTCTGTCCTATTCTCTATCCCTTTTTTAATGATTCCCAACCTTCTGTTTGCTTTTTTGACTGCTGCTGCACGTTACTTAGCTTCCCAAAATTAGAGCCACTCACCTCCTGCACAGATACCACAGCTCTTGCGGCTCTCTCTCCCCATCCAGCATGGCATGAGGGGCTATTTCTCAACCTGGCTGCAGGTGCTCAGCCTAGCCCCAGCCCTGGTTGCTTCACACCCCACCCGTGCTGCCCTATTGTGAATGGGCTCCATTGGCAGGCAGGGCCCAAACCCAGTGCCATTACCTGGAATGCTGGCGAAGATTTCGCTGATGCCAATGAGCAGGTACTGGGGAATCTGCCACCAGATGGGCAGGGAGGCAGCTGTGTATATGTCCTCACCAATATGCTGCTGGATGGTCTGGTTGTTCTTCACAAACTGCAGCCTCTTGGTCTCCAGGACACCTGCCGAGGAGGGGCAGGACGGGTCAATGTGGCATCCCCCACATGTGCTAAGAATGGGACGGTCCCAGCTCTCCATAGGGGAGTCTTTGT